TGGTGTGAGGTGGTATCTCACTGTGGTTTTGATCTGCATTTCTCTGATGGCTAGTGATGCTGAGCATCCTTTCAAATGCCTCTGGGGCCTCTGTATCTCCTCCTTGGAAAAGTGTCTGCTCAGGTCCTTGCCCATTTTTTAATTGGATCATTTGTCTTCTTGGAGTGGAGTCGAGTGAGTTCTTTATATATCTTGGAGATCAAACCTCTATCTGATGAATCATTGGCAAATATATTTTCCCATATGGTTGGTGCCCTTTTCATTTTGCTGATGTTTTCTTTAGCCGTGCAGAAGCTTCTTATTTTGATGAAGTCCCACTTGTTTATTCTTTCCTTTATGTCCCTTGCTTTAGGAGACATATCAGGGAAAAAATTGCTGCGTGGGATATCTGAGAGTGTCCTGCCATTGTTCTCCTCTAGGACTTTTATGGTGTTGCGAGTTATATTTAAGTCTTTTATCCATCTTGAGTTTATTTTTCTGTATGGTGTCAGCTGATGATCAAATTTCAATTTTTTGCATGTAGCTGTCCAGCTCTCCCAACAGCACTTGTTGGAGAGGCTATTATTACTCCACTTTATGCTCTGCCCCCGTTGTCAAATATTAGTTGCCCATATAGACCTGGGCTTATTTCTGGGCTTTATATTCTGTTCCACTGGTCTATGGGTCTGTTCGAGTGCCAGTAGCAGACTGTTTTGAGTAGAGTGGTTTTGTAGTACAGTTTGATGTCCAGTATTGTGATCCCTCCTACTTTGTTTTCTTTCTCAAAATTTCTGTGACTATTCAGGGTCGTTTATGGTTCCATATAAATTTTGAAATGTCTGTTCTATTTCTGTGAAATACGTCACTGGTATCTTAATATGGATTGCATTGAATCTATAAACTGCTTTGAGTAGTATGGACATTTTGATGATATTAATTCTTTCAATCTATGAACATGGTATATGCTTCCATTTATTTGTGTCTTCCTTAATTTCTTTCCTCAGTGTACTATAGTTTACTTCATACAGGTCTTTTACCTCCTTGGTTAAATTTATTCCTAGGTACTTTATTTTTCTTCTTGCTATATCGAATAGTATTTTTTTTTCTGATTCCTTCTTCTATTGCATTGCTGGTGTACAAAAATGCCTTTGATTCCTGAATATTGACTTTCTATCCTCTGTTTTGCCAAATTCACTTATTAGGTTGAGGAGTTTTTTGGTGGAGTCTACAGGGTTTTCTATGCACACTATCATGTCATCTGCAAACAATGATTGTTTTACTTCCTCCTTTCCTATTTGGATGCCTTTTATTTCTTTTTCTTGTCTGACCGCTGGGGCTAGGACTTCCAATACGACGTTGGAAAGAAATGGTGAAAGCAGACATCCTTGTCATGTTCCCGATCTTAGTGGGAAAGCTTTCAGTTTTTGGCTGTTGAGTATGATATTGCCTGTAGGTTTTTCATATATGGCCTTTATATGTTGAGGAATGCCCCATTTATCCCCATTTTGCTGAGTGTTTTGATCATAAATGGGTGCTGTACCTTATCGAATGCTTCTGCATCTATCGAGATGATCATGTGGTTTTGTCTTTTCTTTTATTTATATGATGTATTATGTTTATTGACTTGCGTATATTGAACCATCCCTGCATCCCTGGGATGAATCAATCCCACTTGATCATGGTGGGTAATCTTTTTAATGTACTGCTGGATGCAGTTTGCCAATACTTTGTTGAGGATTTTAGCGTCTATGTTCATCAGCAAAATTGGCCTGTAGTTTTCTTTCTTTGTAGGGTCTTTAACTGGTTTTGCGATTAGGGTGATGCTGACCTCATAAAAAGAGTCTGGGAGTATTCCTTCCTCTTGGATTTTTTGGAATAGTCTGAGAAGGAAAGGGGTTAGCTCTTCCTTAAATGTGTTGTAAAATTCCCCTGTGAAACCGTCCGGCCAAGGGCTTTTGTGTGCTGGAAATTTTTTGATTACTGCTTCAATTTCCCCAGCTTTTCTCGGTCTGTTCAAGCTTTCTGTTTCTTCCTCCTTCAGTGTTGGAAGATTATACTTTTCTAGAAATTTGTCCATTTCATCGAGGTTTTCAAATTTCGTGGCATGTAATTGTTCATAGTAGTTTCTGACAATCCTTTGTATTTCTGTGGTATCAGTTGTTATTTCTCCTCTTTCGTTTCTGATATTTATAATTTGGGTCCTCTCCCTTTTTGTCTCGATGAGTCTGCTTAAAGGCTTGTCAATTTTATTTATCTTTTCAAAGAACCAGCTTCTGGATTGGTTGATCCTTCGAATTGTTCTTTTCGTCTCTATGTCATTGAGTTCTGCTCTAATATTGACTATTTCCTTCCTTCTACTTGCTCTGGGGTTTATTTGTTGTTGCTTCTCTAGCTCTTGAAGTTGTAGTGTTAGATCTTCTATTTGAAAGGTTCCTATCTTTTTTCAGTAAGCCTGTATTGCTATGAACTTCCCTCTCAGGACTGTCTTTGCTGTGTCCCATAGGTTTTGGAGTGTTGTATGTTCATTTTCATTTATTTCCAGAAATTTTTTGATTTCTTCTCTTATCTCATTATTGACCCATTCATGGTTTAATAGTCTACTGTTCAGTCTCCATGAGTTTGCAAGTTTTTGAGGTTTCTCTTTGACTTTGATTTCCAATTTCAAGCCCTTGTGGTCTGAGAAAAAGGTTGGTATTATTTCAGTTTTCCTGAATTTGCTGAGGTTTGCTTTGTGTCCTATCATGTGGTCTATCTTTGAAAAACTTCCATGAGCCTTTGAAAAGAATGTGTATTTTGCTTCTTTGGGATGTAAGGTTTCTATATATGTCAGTTAAGTATATATGATCCAGTACGTCATTCAGCACAACAATATCCTTGTTGATGTTTTGTTTAGAAAATCCGTCCATTTTTGACAGTGGGGTGTTAAAATCCCCTACTATCAGTGTGTTGCTGTCTGTATCTTTCTTGAAGTCCTCCAAGATTTTACTTATATGTTTGGGTGCTCCTATGTTGGGTGCATATAAGTTTACAATGTTTATGTCTTCGTGATGGATTCTTCCTTTGAGTATTATGAATTGTCCTTCTGGTTCTCTTTTTATGGCATTTGTTTTGAAATCTATTTTGTCTGATATAAGTATTGCAACCCCTGCTTTTTTCTCTGGCCCATTTGCTAGGAATATTTTTTTCCATCGCTTTACTTTCAATCTGTGTAGGTCTCTTGCTCTGAGGTGTGTCTCTTGTAGGCAGCGTATGTGTGGGTCATGTTTTCTTATCCATTCAGCTACCCTGTGTCTTTTGATTGGGGCGTTTAGTGCATTTACATTGAGAGTTATTACTGATAGAAACCTATTCATTTTTTCTCTTTGTACCTGTGTTTTTCTCTTTCTCACTCTTTTCCTTCATCTTCTTAAACCAGTCCCTTTAGCATATCTTGGAGTGCTGGTTTGGTAGAGATGTATTCTTTTAGCCTTCTTTTGTCTGGGAAACTCCTTATTTCCCCTTCTGTTTTAATTGAGAGCCTTCCTGGGTAGAGCAGCCTTGGTTGTAGGCCCTTGCTTTTCATTACTTGGAATATTTCTTGCCATTCCCTTCTGGCTTGCAGTGATTCTCTTGAGACTCAGCTCCTAGCCGTATCGGGGCCCCCTTGTATGTTACTTTCTCCTTCTCTCTTGCTGCCTTGAGGATTCTCTCTTTGTCTTTGATAGTTGCCATTTTAATGATGATGTGTTTTGGGGCGGACCTCCTTGGGTCCCTCTTGAGTGGGGTCCTCTGTGCCTCCTGGATCCATGAGACCCTTTCTCTCCTCAAATTGGGGAAATTTTCCATCATTACTTTTTCGACGAGGTTCTCTATCCCTTGCTCCTCTTCTTCTCCTTCTGGTCTCCCTATTATGCGGATATTATTGCGTTTCAGGTTGTCCTGCATTTGCCTCAATGCCTCTTCATTCTTTTGGAGTCTTTTTTCCATTCCTTGTTCTTTCTGGGAGCTTTTCTCTACCTTATCCTCCATCTCGCTGATTCGATCCTCGGCTTCATCCAGCCTGCTTTGGATTCCTTCTACTGTATTCTTCATATCCTCTTGAGTCTTCTTGATAGTTTCTATGCCCTTTTCCAGGCTGATATAGTTTGCTGTAAGATCCTGATAGTTTCCCTGCAGTTTCTCATAGTTATCTTTGAGCTGGCTGAACTCATTGAGCTTCCTTAGAGCCATTGTTTTGAATTCAATATCTGATAGTTCCCTTGCCTCTATTTCATTTAGCTCTCTCTGTGGGGAGTCCCCTTTTCTACTCATTTTGGGGGGAACTTCTTTTTCTTTCCATTTTTGTGAGAGTCTATTTTTTTATTTTTTTGCTTCTGCTTCAATTGGGCCATCTAGATTTCCTGACTTTGTGGATTAAACCTCTATGGTAGTAGGCGGTTTTATTATTCATTTACTTACTTACTTATTTTTTCTCTACTTTTCTTTCTGGGCCTACCTCTGATGATGTCAGTTGTTGACCCTATATGACCTTGGGTCATTTGTTTGAGCTTTCCGGGAGTCTATTGTCTATGTCTGACTCTTGCTTTGGGCAGCTCTGTGACCCCTTCGGCCAGGGATCCACTATTTCTGTGGATCGCTCTGCATTCTCATACCAGCTCCTTCAGCGTGCTCCTGGCCTGACAGGATCCCCAGTCTGCCTGGGCGCTTATTTGCCCCACCTCGCGCACTTGTCTGGCACCCGCGCCCCGTGGGCGCCCCGGGACTGGTCAGTTTAGGGTCTTCTATTGTGTGCTTTCTCTGCTTTTGGCTCTTTGGGGGCGTCACCTGCCCTTGCCAAATGGAGACTATGGAAATGGGATGAAGTCAGCTCCAGGACTCTTTGGTTAATCCTTCCTCCAGTCTCTCCTCCAGGGTCTCTGGGCAGCTCTGTGACCCTTTTTCCTGGGACCCACTATTTCGGCAGACTGCTCTGCACTCGCGGGCCCGCTCGGGCGCCGGTTTACACCTGCCCTCGCCCATCTGTGCACTCCCTCACAGGCGCCATGGGCGCCAACCTGTGGGAGCTCTCGCCAGCCCACGCGGTCACAGGTCCACACACGAGCTGGCCAACCCTCGCTGGCCACTTGTCATGTGTGTGCAAGCCTGCACTGGGTGGTTTGGGGCTGTTTATTGTGTGCTTTTCAGCTTTTGGCTTTTTGCGGGTGAGGCCTGCCCACTCACCATGGAGACTACAGAAAGGGGAAGGAGTTGAGATTCTCCGGTTCCTCCTCCAGTTCTTTCCCCAGCGCCTCCGTTTCCAGTCTCTCCCCAGGAGTCTCTGGGCAGTTCTGTGACCCCTTCGTTCAGTGATCTACTATTTCTGCGAACCACGTTGTATTCACGGGCCATCTGGCTCCCGCACGCCCCCTTCTGCCTCTTTAAGGGTACCCCCTGCCTGTGCAAAATGGAGACTACAGAATGGGGAGGGAGTTGGGACTCCGGGACTCGGGGACTCTGGGACTCCTCGGTTCCTCCTCCCGTTCTTTCCCCAACGCCTCTGTCTCCAGTCTCTCCTCAAGGCTCTCTATGTAGCTGTGAGACCCCTTTGGCCTGGGATCCTCTATTTCTTCCAGCTTGTCTGCACTTAGCCCCCCAGCTCACAGGTGCACAAGCTATGTGCGGAGCACACAAAAGGCAGGTTAATGGATTCCCTTATGCCTGAGCGAGATCATAGCTGCAGAGTGGGAGGTGAGTTATCACTGGGGCTCCGCCGGCCACCGTCTCAGTTCTCTTCACAAAGTTTTCCTCACCAATCTTTTCCCAGGCATCAGCCCACTCTGCTGCTGCCTCTATCCAGAGATCAAGGAGGGTGGCTGCCACTGTAAATTTTTGCATTGGCCCTTTAAATGTCTCCTTGCATTCCCAGCTGCCTGTCTCTGGCAGAGAGCGCCCCTAAGCTTTTCAGGGTTGCGCTTTTTCTGTGTGTTTTCCAGGTTTCAGCTGTTGTAGTCTAGGGGTCCCTGTTTATGATTCAGACCCTGTTCTTCTCAGGGGGATCCAACTGGCCGTTTCAATGTCCCTCTGATGCTGGTGTCTGTGGGCTCCCAGCCCCCCCTCTCGAGCCTCCACTGCACTTCTCACCCATTGGGATGTGTGAGAATTGAATCCACTGTCTGTCCCTGGCTCCAAGGCTCCTCTCCCTCTATTGTTCCATTGTTTTCCAGGTGATTTCTCCACTATTTAGTAGCAATTCCAGTTTGGTCTTGGGAGGAGGTCAGCGTGACTCCTATTTACTCCTCCACCATCTTCCCTAACTCCCTTTTGTTTTTCAATAAAATACACATTTATTTTTATTTTATTTTATTTTACATTTTCATATTTTTAAACTTATAAATCATTTTTATTCTATTACAGTTGTCTCAAATTTAATTGCTTTACCCCCCTCCACCCATCCCACCTTCAGCTCCCGCTCCCACAGTCAATTCCCACTCTCTCTTTCATATCCATAATCATTCATACGTGTTCTTTTTCTAGCCCCTTCCCCTCCTTTCCACCATTGTCCTCTTTCCTCATCCCCTCTGATCACTGTCAGTCTGCTCCACGTTTCCATGCCTGTGGTTTATTTTGTTCGTTACTATATTTTGCTGAATAGAGTCCACTTATAGGTGAGATCATATGGTATTTGTCTTTCATCAACTAGCTTATTTCACTTAGCATAATATTCCCAAGTTCCATCCATGCAGTCACAAAAGGTAGGAGTTCCATCTTTCTTTCTACCATTCTTTCTTTCTTTCTTAAATGCAGATTGATTTTATTTATTTTTTAATTAATTTATTTTTTCAAATACATTTGTCTCCACCTTCCCCTCACCACTTTCCTTTCTCCCCCTCCCCCCTCCCTCCCTCAATCCTTCCCTACTTTGGCTTTGCCCATGAGTCCTTGCTATATGTGCCTTGACTTGCCCCTGACCTTCCTTTTCCCCTGCCCACTCCTCCCTCGTCCCCTCTTGTCTCTGTTGGTTTCTTCTTTCTTTCAGTGTTGCTGGTCTTATTTTCCTTGCATCTTTGTATTGTTGGTTAGGTTCCGCTTATAGGTGAGATCATATGGTATTTGTCTTTTGCCCCTGGGCTTATTTCGCTTAGCATAATGCTCTCTAGTTCCATCCATGCTGTCATGAAGCGTAGTAGTTCTTTTTTTTTTCTTTCTGCTGCATAGTATTCCATTGTGTAAATGTACCATTGTTTTTTGATCCAATCTACTGTTGAGCATTTAGGTTGCTTCCAATACTTGGCTATTGTAAATTGTGCTGCTATGAACATTGGGGTGCATAGGTTCTTTTGAATTGGCATTTTGGGATTCTTAGGGTATAGTCCCAGCAGGGGAATCACTGGATCAAAAGGCACTTCCATTTCAGCTCTTTGAGGAAATTCCACACTGCTTTCCACAATGGCTGCACCAGTCTGCATTCCCACCAGCAGTGTACTAGTGTTCCCTTTTCTCTACAGCCTCACCAGCACATGATAACGTGGGATTCATCCCAGGGATGCAGGGATGGTTCAATATACGCAAATCAAGAAATGTAATACATCACATAAACAAAAGGAAAGACAAAAACCACATGATCATCTCGATAGATGCAGAAAAAACATTCGATAAGATACAACACCCTTTTATGATCAAAACACTCAGCAAAATGGGAATAAATGGGGGCATTACTCAGAATAATAAAGGCCATATATGAAAAACCTACAGGCAACATCATACTCAACAGGCAAAAACTGAAAGCTTTCCCACTAAGATCAGGAACAAGACAAGGATGTCTGCTTTCACCACTTCTATTCAACATCATATTGGAAGTCCTGGCCACAGCATCAGACAAGAAAAAGAAATAAAGGGCTTCCAAATAGGAAAGGAGGAAGTAAAACTATCACTGTTTGCAGATGACAGGATAGTATACATAGAAAACCCTGTAGACTCCATCAAAAAACTACTCAACCTAATAAGTGAATTTGGCAAACAGCAGGATACAAAGTCAATATTCAAAAATCAATGGTATTCTTGTATACCAGCAATGAAATAGAAGAAGAAATCAAAAAAAGAAATACCATTTGATATAGCAAAAAGAAAAATAAAATACCTAGGAATAAATTTAACCAAGGAGGTAAAAGACCTGTACACAGAAAACTATACAACACTGAAGAAAGAAATTAAGGAAGACACAAATAAATGGAAGTATATACCATGTTCATGGATTAGAAGACTTAATATCATCAAAATGTCCATAACCCAAAGGAATTTATAGATTCAATGCAATCTCTATTAAGATACCAATGATGTATTTCAGAGAAATAGAACAGACATTTCAAAAATTTATATGGAACCATAAACGACCCCGAATAGCCACAGCAAGTTTGAGAAAGAAAAACAAAGTAGGAGGGATCACAATACCGGACATCAAACTATACTGCAAAGCCACTCTACTCAAAACTATCGGGTAGTGGCACAAGAACAGACCCATAGACCAGTGGAACAGAATAGAAAGCCCAGAAAGAAGCCCAGGTGTATATGGGCAACCAGTATTTGACAAAGGGGGCAGAAGCATAAAGTAGAGTAAAAATAGCCTCTTCAACAAATGCTGTTGGGAGAGCTGGACGGCTACATGCAAAAAATTGAAATTGGATCATCATCTGACACCATACACAAAAGTAAACTCAAGATGGATAAAAGACTTAAATATAAGTTGCAACACCATAAAAGTCCTAGAGGAGAACAACGGCAGGACACTCTCGGATATCCCACGCAGCAATTTTTTCACTGATATGTCTCCTAAAGCAAGGGACATAAAGGAAAGAATAAACAAGTGGGACCTCATCAAAATAAGAAGCTTCTGCACAGCTAAAGAAAACATCAGCAAAATGAAAAGGGAGCCAACTGTATGGGAAAATATATTTGCCAATGATTCATCAGATAGAGGTTTGATCTCCAAAATATATAAAGAACTCACTCAACTCCATTCCAAGAAGACAAATGATCCAATCAAAAAATGGGCAAAGGACCTGGGCAGACGCTTTTGCGAGGAGGAGATACAGAGGGCCCAGAGACATTTGAAAGGATGCTCGGCATCACTAGCCATCAGAGAAATGCAGATCAAAACCACCATGAGGTACCACCTCACACAGGTCAGAATGGCCATCATAAGCAGATCAACAAACAACAGGTGCTGGTGAGGCTGTGGAGAAAAGGGAACCCTAGCACACTGCTGGTGGGAATGCAGACTGGTGCAGCCACTGTGGAAAGCAGTGTGGAATTTCCTCAAAGAGCTGAAATGGAAGTGCCTTTTGATCCAGTGATTCCCCTGCTGGGACTATACCCTAAGAATCCCAAAATGCCAATTCAAAAGAACCTATGCACCCCAATGTTCATAGCAGCACAATTTACAATAGCCAAGTGCTGGAAGCAACCTAAATGCCCATCAGTAGATGATTGGATCAAAAGATTATGGTACATTTACACAATGGAATACTACGCAGCAGAAAGAAAAAAAGAACTACTAAACTTCGCGACAGCATGGGTGGAACTGGAGAGCATTATGCTAAGCGAAATAAGCCCAGGGGCAAAAGATAAATACCATATGATCTCACCTATAAGTGGAACCTAACCAGCAATACAAAGATGCAAGGAAAATAAGACCAGCAACACTGAAAGGAAAAGAAACCAACAGAGACAAGAGGGAAGGAGGAAGGGATGGGAGAGGAAAGGGAAGGAAAGGGGCAAGTCAAGGCACATATAGCAAGGACTCATGGGCAAAGCCAAAGTAGGGAAGGATTGAGGGAGAGAGGCCAGGGATTGAGGCAGTGGATAGTGGTGGTGGGAAGGTAGAGACAAATATATTTGAACAAAATAAATAAATAAAATTAAAAATAAATAAATAAAAATTTTTTTATATAAATAAATAAAATTGAAATACGGGGCAGGAGAAAGTGGGTGGGGGAAGGTGGATACAAATGTATTTGAAAAAATTAATTAATGTTAAAAAAAGAAATACGGAAAAAAAATCTTTCAACTTTTTTAGAATTGTGTTCTATAAGCTACTACCTGCAATAAATGAACATTTAGTTAAAGTTTACAAATATGTATATTATGGAGTAGATGAGGTCCATGAGAAAGACATGATTTATGCACCATCTAGAAATCTAGAAGAAGGAAAAGAGGAACTTAGAATTTGGTAGAATAATGATTTGTGCCTCCCTGCTGTAATGCAAAGTCAAAATAAAAGTGAATCTTATTTTTGGGATAGCTAGATTTCTGAAAAATAAATCCCAGCAAATCTAATTTCTGTTAAGTTAAAGACAGAAAATATATGACAAAAATATTAAAACAACTAAAAACATGAAGATACTATTAGTGACTAGTTTTTTTTTTGTTTTTTTTTTTTAGTGTAGAGGGGAAAAGAATAAAATTCTTTAAAAATTCTATAGAATTAGGAAAAGCGTAGTTAAAATAAACTGATAATTTCATCAAATCCTAGAATACCTAATTTTGATTGACAAAACCTATTCTATTTAGGAGGGAAATTTAGGTTAAAATGGGTCATGTAGTTTTACATACAGTAATAAACATGAAACAAATTACCCCCATGAGATGGTGAAACTAAAAATTATTTATATATTAAGAAAAATCAGCTTGTTTAGAAGTACATTCCATAGAGTTCATGAAGTTAGAAGCTTCAGTTGAAAAACATACTCCTCCACTCCACACCACACCCCAAACAAAATAAGGGTCCACTGTTCGTACTGACAGATATCAAGATACTCTGGGTTGTTTTTCTCAATACAGAAATGCTTGGGATATATTATCACTGATTTTCATTAGAAAAATGGAAACGAGTTTGTCTAGAATAAAATGTCAGTATCCATATCTTACTGAACAAGACTAGTGAGGAAAATACACAAAAAGGTTCAGAAAGAATTAATGCAGAGTTTCTAATGTAATTTTTATTTTGGTGTCAAAAGTTTAAAATACCAAAGAGAAAACACTGAACTGTGACATCCATTTTGATTTACAGTTGTCTTCTTACCATCCATTTTTATTCATAGTGAAATTACAGATGTGTCCCACTTTTTACAACTGATAAAATATAGTTATGTGTATAACAATTTTTCAAACAACAAACTCTGAATGTACCAAAATACTTTTAATATTAAAAGGTCAAATAATTATTATGCAAGAAATCTTTCTGTAATACAATTCATTATTTTTCTAAACTATTTGGTTGAAACTAAGAACAATTTGTCTTGAGGTACAGAGGGTTTTTGCCTGTACTGTCTTATTTGGTTGTAGTAATACCCAATATTTATTGACTATTTACTCTGTTCCATGTGCTGTACTGAGTGCTTTACTTAGGTAATATTCTTTAATCCTTATAACACTTCTGTGAAGTAGCTACTACTATTGCTCCCATTTTACAGATAAGAAGGTAAAGTTTGCCCAAGGTCACCCTAGTTATGAGCAGAGCCAAGGTTTAAACCAGTCTGCCTCTAAAGGCCATCCTCCTTAAACTATTTGTCTAGAATATATGAATAGCCCTAAGAAGTGGCCAGAGCAGACTACATATGAGGAGTAAGTGTTTGGAGATTAACTGATTTACCCAAATAAACCCTGTTAACAGCAATACTAAACCCAGGTGTTCTGATTCAGTTTTTAAATGTAATATTCTTTCTACTATATTAATATTAAATGTTAGGTTTTTTAATTTTTTAAGTCATTGTTCAGTTACACTTGTCCCCATTTTTGCCCTATTACTCTCCCCTGCCCTATCAACGATCCTCCTCTCACATTCAATCCTCTACCTCCAACCCCCCAACTCCCCACCCCTGTTGTCTTTGTTCATAGATCCTTTATGTAAGTCCCTTGACTTGACCCTTCCCCTTCCTCACCCTGCTATCCTCCTCCCCACTCCCCCCCCCACTCTGGTGACTGTCAGTTTGTTCTTTCTTTTCATGTCTCTGGTTCTATTTTGCTCCCTTGTTTGTTTTGTTGATTAGGTTCCACCTGCATTTTTTTTTTTTAAAGCAAGACATATCTCTGCTCCATAGTACAAATCCACACAATCCTTGGTAGCACAGATATTCTTTTTTTTTCCCTCAATTCACAGAATCAAATCACTAAAAAATAACAATAATAATTTTAAAATAGCAGAAGCTAGCCCTGGCTTGTGTGGCTCAGAGGTTTGAGCGCAGACCACTGAATTAAAGGGTTGGTTCCTGGTCAGGCCATTTGCCTGGGTTGCAGGCCAGGTCCCTGGCTGGGGGTGTGAGAGAAGCAACCAATCAATGTTTCTCTGCACAAGGTGTTTCTCTCCGTCTTTCTCCCTCCCTTCCCGTCTCTCTAAAAACAAAGAAATAAAATCTTTTAAAAAAAATAAAAAGAGAAGCTGGCTAACAAATTCAAATTTATTAGGTAACACAGAAATATAACATAGCAGAGAAGATTTACCTATACATGAAAAAAGGGACCTGAAATTTTTACAAAGTAAGATTGCAGATATTGCAAGAAACAGTCTAGTAATAGTGGTTAAAACTGAACTATGGAGTCTAACTATCAGATTCAAATTTATTTAAACTTTCTGTGTCTCAGTTTTTTCACCTGTAAAATGGGGAGGATAATAGTACTTACCCTATATAATCCTTGTGAGGATTAAGCGAGTTAATACATATAAAGTGCTCAGAACAGTGAGTGCCTGGTGTGTGGTAAGCACTTAATAAATATCAGCTAGAACTATTACCACTTTTGCATAAAAACATGATTTTATTCAATATGAAAAATATATTTTGAGTTTTATTTTTCTATTTTAAGAAATAATATTGCCTCTTTCCATTATTTTTTCTAAAAATAAGTTTTATTTCTTTTCAGAATACATCATTCTTTACTATTAAGTTGTATTCATTAGCAATAATATATGAACAAATGTCAGCTCATTTATATTACATTTTACCTTTTCTTTCATTAATCTTTCAATTTATTGAAAAAAAAATCCTGGAATGTTATCAATACTTAATATAATTTTATGTGCAGTGCTCACCATTTCATATTTTCATCAAAAACTGAAATTATCTTCAGTCTGTCAATTTTAAGACAAAAAAAGAAACCAATATCTGGGGGAAAGTAGAAATAAAAAGAAAGTACTTACCTGTACCATGTACTTTTGTTGTGTGCTTAGTTATATTTCCAGGTTACATGGATGCAGAATTGGCAAAAAAATCAGATCCCAGAGTCCCGATTCTAAAAAGTGGAGGCACTTTGAAGTCTAAGAGTGGACAAGAAGAAAACAAGGAAGCACTAAAGAAGGAAATCTTATTCACGGATTCTAATAAGTTCTTGATATACAAAACAGGGTCAAAAAGCAAAGCAGAAGGCATTGAGTTGGAGAAAGGCAAGATGAGAATGGAGGCCAAGGTAAAGGAGAGTGACATGGGACTGCCAAAAAGGCAGGAAGCCCAAGTAAAGGCGAGTGAATCCAAACTACCACAAGGACAAGAATCTCAAGTAAAGGCGAGTGAGTCCAAACTACCACAAGGACAAGAATCTCAAGTAAAGGCGAGTGAGTCCAAACTACCACAAGGACAAGAATCTCAAGTAAAGGCGAGTGAGTCCAAACTATCACAAGGACAAGAATCTCAAGTAAAGGCGAGTGAGTCCAAAATACCACAAGGACAAGAATCTCAAGTAAAGGCGAGTGAGTCCAAACTACCACAAGGACAAGAATCTCAAGTAAATGACAGTGAGGCTGGAGTACCACAAGGACAAGAATCTCAAGTGAAAAACAAGAATTCTGAAGATAAAGGAAACCAGGACAAAGAAAAGAAAGATGCAGGAAAGAATGAAGATACAAAAGAAAATGATGCCAAAAACAAGAAAGGCGGTAAAGGAAAGAACAAAGCTAAAGGAAAGAAAGAACCACAGGCCAAGAGTAAAAAAGCAGAAGCTTCAAAAAAGGGCAAAGGCAAGGAAAAGGAAGAAGTACAACAAGAAGAGGAGAGTAAGGATAAATAAAAGAAAAGCCCATAAGACAACTGGTTTTTATGGTTCCCATCCTCCAGATACAAGTAATATCCCAGGCATTGCTTAAATAGATTGTAATTATAGAATTCCTTTAATCTATATATCTGCAGCGATTCTGCTCTTTAGAAGTTTCACCATTTTTAGATCTCTCAGCCAGAAACCTGTTTCTATCTGTTTTATAAGTTGATACTTACATTACTTAGTCAAAAAGACTGGATACTTTCTAAAATAAAACATTTTGATTAAATAGATCTATGATAACTTTTTTAACAAATATTATATCTCTGTGATAGCCTAACCAACCAACCAACCATTTTTCATGGTGGGCTTAATATTCTAGCAATAAGGAGTATACAGAAAAATATAAGCCAAAGTCTCTGGAATCAAATAGTTTGTAACATACAGGGTCTGGCACAAATAATGCCCCTTTTATATTACATAAAAATCTTTTATTACAAAATCATAAGTAGGTAATTCTGTAACATACTGCTATCACAATCAAGCACACCATATGACATTTTAAGTGAAATGTTCCAATTGCTGTCTATCTCATGTGAGACATTCACGTGCCCTACCAACCACACTCAATGGTGTTACTTCTGCCAGACCCTGTATTTCGTGATGTAATATGACAGTTTTTGAAAAAATAAAATTTTAGCATCAAAACATAATTTAGATGGGCATGGTATAATAAAAGTTAGAAAGTGAAGGGTGTCGCACTGCGTGGTTGACTATAGGGGACACGCCACCGCGCGGGAGCGCTTCAGACAGCGCAGCGCTCCCTGAAGCCTGAGGGAAATCGTCTGGCACCAGCTGAGGTGGGAGCAGGGCTCTGAAACCCGCATAGCCCGTCCCAGGGTTGTCACGGATGAGGACAAACACAAACGCACAAACATTTCTCTGTTTGCCAGGGGAGCAGATGGGGGCACTTTTCTCCTACCAGAAAAGGCCGTGACACATCCCCCTAATGGGAAAGGCCCCGTTGTCCTTTCTTCCAAGGCTTTTATTGAAAATTTTATCAGTGGGGTATAACAGGAAAGCATACGTATACTCACTACATTCGCAAGATAAGTTTCACAGAGAATAGATACCTTTAGGAAAACAAGTGACAGGAAATCAGTGATTTGCATGGGTTTGAGAGGAGACTCAAATCAATAGAGACTATCATTTAAGGGGGAAGTAGACTTAAAGGTGTCTTAAAGATATAGGGTAAAATGTATAAATAAAGCAAATGTCTTGACAAGGAAAGGGATGTAAATAATGTGAATGTCCTTCACAGCATGAGCTGACCTGAGATCTGAGGGAGGAACAGAGCACACTCTATAGAATTTATTTTCAGGCCTGATTACCCAGGATCTGTCAGATCTGATTTAGGGCTGTTTTTCCCCCCTCATTGTTTCAAGCCTGAGCCAGGCGGGGGAAGGAACCACCAAGAGATAAGGAGACTGCTTCTCGGCTGCAATGAGGACTCTGGCCATGTCCAAGCCAAGCCGAGGGGTGTGGGGGCCTTTTTGCCCCTGGTCCGTGTCCCCCAATTTCTCATCTGCTGCCAAAATTGGGCCAATGCCTGTCTTAAGTTGAAAACCTCAGCGCAAGGTCCCTTACCCACCATGGGCTAATTGACCAGCCATGGCAAAGCAGAGAGGCAGAGGCTATGCCCCTGCCAGGGGGGACAGGCCAAGCCTCCTCAGGAGCCTGTTTCTCCAAGGTCTCCTGATTATTTCCAGCCTTGGGACCCTCCAGCGTATCAGCAGGGTTACATCTTCTGAAACCAGACCAAGCATTTCCCAACAGAAGGAGTTACCTTCACTGGGAAGGGAATGGTGATGTATGACATGTCTCAAAGATGGATAAGATGTTGCTATGCTGATGATGTAGAAGGAACAGAAGAAAGGCAAAGGTATTAAGGACAGCTGTGCCATGCTCTAGGGGAAGTGTGCAACTGAATTGTTGCAGCAGGTTCATGAGAAGTATTCTGAGGTAAAATTTTGAAAAGGAGGGTTAGAAGAAGATTCTGGAAGGATTTGAAACACAAACCTGGAATTTGTATTATATCCATCAGGCAACTGGAACTTCCTGGGGTATTTGTGGAGGAAAGTCAAGTGAATATGGTTGCATTTACTGAAACATTAATTCTGTGACTGTGCAAAATAGATTGAATAGCAGAAACATCATAGGTAGTAAATCTAGTTACTTGGAACAATAAGTGATGGAAACAGAGTAAATAGAAGGATTGGAACAGTAAGTGATGGAAAGAGAATGAATAGAACGATTAGATATATTTTTTCAATGAAGAATCACTACTTCAAAATGACTGACTACACACAATATGGGACAGAAAAATTGCTGACTAAACTTTTGAAACTGGGTGATAGAAAATCAATAACAAACTAGGAGTTAGTTTGTGAGATGGGAAGGAACAACAAGGAAGGAACAACAAATTTTTTGGTTTTAAGGGAAAAATAATAATATTTATTTGAGAGAGATCTGCAGTCAGTCCAATAGAGGTAACAAATGAAGCCATAAAACTAAGGAACTCCCCAAAGGAGCAAGTGCAGAGAGAGTACAGGTGCAAGAACTAAACCTGTGTTATATAACAGGTTGAAGAAGAAAATTAACTAAGATAGGGAGATACAAGGAAAGCCTGTATAATGAATGAGAGAGAGGAAAGGAGAAAGAAATTTTAAAAAATATATTGATTTGTTCCATTTATTTATGCATTCATTGGTTGCTTCTTGTATATTCCCTGACTGGGGATTGAACCCATAACCTTGGCATATAGAGACGAAGCTCTAACCAACTGAGCTACCTGGCCAGGTCCTGGAATAGATTATCTTAATAATTCCTTCCAAATATGAGTCTATAATTCAGAATATAAAATTCTTTTGGACTACCTAGATGTCTTCCAAGGTACCTTTTCAAATTAATATGCTAGAATTGTTTAGAGAGGTTTGACAGAGAGAGACAGAGAAAGAGAGCCCATACTCTAGTCCCTGCCAAAAACATGAAATGTTTCATAAATGGCTCATTCTACCTAACCTCAACCTGAACAGAGAAGCTCCACAGCTTCTGGCACAATCCAAATCACTGTGTGGATCCCTACCATGTACTCACAGCCCAGCCACAAGTGTAGAGGCTTAAATCAATTTTAGAAGTCCCGAAGCCCTGAGGCTTTCTTTTTTCCTTTTTATTTTTCTTTCTGCAGGCTTTAAATGAACCACATAGATTTAGAAAGACTGAATTGAAAAAAAAGAGAGAAAGGTGGTGGACAAAAAAGAAACATGAAATTTTTATTTCTTTAATTTGTAGATACTCTCTTTTTTTTATTGTTGTTCAAGTACACCTGTCTCCATTTTCCCACCACAATGTTACTACCACCTTTCCAATATGGATACCTTATATTTCTTCTTCTTGACCAATCACTGTGGCTAGAAATTCCAATACTATGTTGAATAGAAGTGGTGGAAGCAGACATCCTTGTCTTATACCTGATCTTACTTGGGAAGCTTTTAGTTTTTGCCTGTTGACTATGATGTTGGCTGTAGGTTTCTCATATATGACCTTTATTATGTTGAGGTATGCTCCCTTTACTCTCACTTTACTCAGTGTTTTTATCATAAATGGGTGCTATACCGTATCAAATGCTTTTTCTACATCTATTGATACAATCATGTGATTTTAGTCTTTTGTATTATTTAAGTGATGTATTACATTTATTGATTTGTGAATATTGGGCCATCCTAGCATCCCTGGGATGATCATGCTGGATGATCTTTTTAATGTACTGCTGCATACAGTTTGCCAATATTTTGTTAAGGATTTTAGCATCTATGTTCATCAGCAATATTGGCCTGTAGTTTTCTTTCTTTGTTGTGTCTTTATCTGGCTTTGGGGTTAGGATGATGCTGGCTTTATAAAAAGAGTGTAGGAGACTTCCCTCTACTTGGATTTTTTTTAATAGTCTGAGAAGGATAGGTGTTAGCTCTCCCTTAAGTATTTTGTAAAATTCTCCTGTGAAAACACTTGGTCCAGGGCTTTTGTAAGCCAGAAGTTTTTTGATTACTCTTTCAACTTCACCAGCTGTTCTCAGTCTGTTCAGGCTTTCTGCTTCTTCTTCTTTCAGTTTTGAAACACTATGTTTCTAGAAATTTATCCATTTCATACAGGTTTTCAAATTTCTTGGCATATAGTTATTTGTAGGACTTTCCTACAGTCCATTGTATTTCTCGGGTGTCCATTGTAATTTCTCCTCTTTCATTTCTGATTTATTAATTTGGGTTATTTCTCTTTTTATCATGATGAGTCTGCTTAAAGGCTGTCAATTTGGTTTTCTTTTCAAAGAAGCAACTCCTGGATTTGTAGACCCTTGAATTATTCTTTTGGAGTGGGAGGGTGGCAAGATGGCAGAGGAGTGAATGGAAGTCACATTGACCCTCTCCCAGGACCAATCTGGAATTACATCTAAATTGTGGAGAAATCACCTGGAACAAACAACTGAACAATAGTGATAGAGGAACCTTATAACCTCGGAAACACAAAAGAATCAGTTTTACCACAAGCTGACTGGTAAGGAGTGCAGGAGAGACTCGAGAAGGTGAGCTGGAAGCCCATGGGCAGCAGCACCAGAAGGATATTTAAATAGCCAGTTGGATCCCCCTGAGAAGAGTGGGGTCTAAACATTAAGGGGGATCTCCAGCCTATAGCACCAGAACCCAAAAAAGACACATAAACAGCCAGCTATGAAAAGCAGCAGGATTGCTCTCTGCCAGAAACGAGTAGCTAGAAACTAAAAGAGCTGTTTAAAGGGCCACCACATAAATTTTTATTTGCAGCCACTTACCCTGGGCTTTGGCAAAGGTGAGGGCAGAGTGGGCTAGAGACATCTCAGAAGAAACTGGAGATGGAGGCTTTGGGGAGAGAACTGAGACAGTAGCCAGCAGGATAACGGTGCTGACTTATCTACCATAAGGCAGCAACCATCTTGCTCAGGC